CACAATGGTCATAGATTTATGACCAATTCACCCACGGTCACTACGAAAAGGTCACAATTAAGCATATTTCTTGTAGTTCGGGGAACGCCTCCTCCTCTCCTCTCTCTGGCAGTTGTGCAAAAGAGGGGTTGATTGCTTTTTCTTTTTAGATCTAAGGGCGTGTATGCAAATGTTATGCCACGTCAGCTCCTTACAATTTGGTCCCACTTGTCAGAAAGTGATCAAATGAGCCAAATCACCCGATTAGTGCGATTTGCAAAATGTTTACCGAATCCGCGGTGATTTTTGCAAAAAATTAGTGACCTGGTGATTTTCCGCAGATGAAGCCCCAAATGTGGTGGTTTTTTGCAATTCACTCCCACCTTCCTAAAAGCTTATCATAGTTTCCAAAAATTGTTATCCCCTCCGTCCTCACCACATCCCCAAAAGAAAAGTTCACCAACAAAGAAAGGGAAGCAGAAAGTGTTCCGCTGCAACAGAGGGCCGAGTGCAACCCAATCCTAGTTTATCTCTTGAATGTGAAGAACTCAACTACTATGAAACAATGCCACTCCCCCATATGTCAAATCTACCAATGTTGCCCTCATCTAAAAGTACATCCAATCATCGAATGAATTAGTATGCTCTGATGCAAAGAACAGGTTTCTCACGGAACAATTCATAACGAACATCGGCGTGTACTACTACAGCAGAGTCAAATTTTGAACCGTAATCATAATCATGGGAGAAGGAAAGGCAGAGAGCATATATTCCACCGGTACAGAGTGCCATGTGCACTCCAATCCTACTGAATGTGAAGAAATAAACCATTAAACATTTGAGACTGCCATAATCGTGGGAGAAGGGAAGGCAGAGCCAGAGAGCAAACCTCATATTTACATACCAACTGTGATGTCACACCCTCTGAAGAACTCGAATTCGATGTAGAGCTGCGGGGAGGTGTGCCAGCTTGAGTACTCCTTGAGCCACTGCTGGAGCGCCTCGTCAGCGAGCACATTGAGCGTTTCGAAGGGCACAACAAGCAACCACAGAACCTGCACCACCATGTGGGAGAAGCCACACTGCGGGTAGCCGACCAGAAACGTTGAGCGCTGCTTTGGCAAGACGTCAATGCAGACCACTTGGAAATTGTGGCCGCGGTAAACAAGAAAGCAGAGTACACCTTTTGCTGTTCGTATTATGTGAGACACCTGCAGAGGAGGACACTGCAATTCAGAATATAAGGTTTGTGTAATCAATGGCCAACTGCTAATGACAACTCAGAATGTAATCACCAAATTTATCAACAGGGTGTGGGTGTCAGCATTTTAACTTTAGGAACATAGTTACTCTTGTGTATAATATAGCAGTCAGAATAAACGGACAACGACACTACAGTTACCAAAAGCATTCTTGACATCCTTGTCCCGCAGGCCACAGAGTGAGAGCATAACACGCAGTAGCTTGATGTTTTTCTTGATGAAATATCAGCAGTACAACAAAATATAAGGGGCACGCATGTCTAGTAGATAGACAGAGGCGTACAGTTCAAAAACTTGGGCAGTAGCATGTGGTGCTTAGTGACAAAAGGTGACCGCTGCAATTAGGCCTGGGGAAGAGATTCAGTGACTTGTCAGACAAGCGCAACTATTCCTGCTTCCATCTCATATCCTCAGGGACCACTATTTTTGCTTGGAGCAACCCGAACTCATTTTGCAATTTCAAGAGACAAGAGCAGCAAGATCTAGCATCACAAGAGTATGAAACATTTGTAATTATACTGTTTTCTTGTAATAAAAGCACATGATGAATCTGATAGCTAGTCAACTATTTCCATAGCATTTTTTTTTTGATAAAAAGGGATTTCCCCCCGCCCCTTTTCTATAGCATATATATTTAAACTAAGTTTAATGTAGCAAGGATATCACAAAATATTGGCCAATAACATACCTTGAGCTATACATCAGCACTTGTTATGCAGAGGCCGGGGGTCATCCTCCTTTTCTAAAAAAAAAAAACATCAGCACTTGTTACAGCTCCAGAGACAATAAATTAAGTTGTGCGCCAAAGATATGATATCCACTGGCTTCATTTCCTTGAGTTAGAAATGCTACAAGATTTAACTTCCAAGAATAGAAATTCCTGAATTAGCAAAACAATGAGAGCACGTTAATCCACAAAAATGCCCTATGAGTTCCCTACTCCCCCATATTCATCAACAGACTTAGCACTCAAGTCCCAACAGTTTTGGCTGAGTTCTTGGGCATGGACTACTCAAGAAACCCACATCAAGTCCCATCCCAACACACAGACTATGGGTCGAGTAGTTTATTTGACAAATAAATTGTGGAGCAACAAACTTAACTCTCTGTTGGCTTTTAACTTGATAAAACATCTCATCTTGACCCTGTTCCATCATGTTCATAATTCTTTCCGTCTCCTCTTTACTAATAGTCTACCACAGATTCTCAAACAATATTTCCAGTTTCCCTATCTAGTTTGAGCCGGCCGGTTGTGGCATCTTGTCTTGGCTAGTGGGTGTTTCTAGCCTTTTTTTGGCTCTGTGTGAGCTTTATGTGCTTTTTATTACTTTTGGAGACTTTGGAGACCATGTAACTTCTTTTTTGGTTAATAAGATGGCCGTATGCATCGTTCTGATGCAAAGGCCGGGGAATCCCCCTTTTCGAAAAAGAAAAAAAAAATACATACCGAGAGTGATGTCGCCCCGCAGAAGAACTCACCGTCAATGCAATGCTGCGGCCAGGTGGGCCAGCTGGAGTACTCATTGAACCCCTGCCGGAGCGCCTCGGCATCACTCACGAGCACGTCGAGCGAGCACAGGAACTGCACCACCGTGTGGAAGAAGCCGCGCTGCGGGAAGCCGACCTGACACATCGAGCGAGCACAGGAACTGCACCACCGTGTGGAAGAAGCCGCGCTGCGGGAAGCCGACCTGACACATCGAGCGAGCACACGAACTGCACCACCGTGTGGAAGAAGCCGCGCTGCGGGAAGCCGACCTTACACGTCGAGTGCTGCTTTGGCAAGACGTCGGTGCTGATCATCTGGAAATTGTGACTGCGCTGAGCAAAAATGCAGAGCAAATCTTTCAGAAAAAAAACAGAGCATGTCTTGCTCTGCATATTCTGTGAGACATCCGCAGAAGAAGACAATGAAGATTCAGAATATAAGTGTATGATTTAGTGACTTCCTCAGGCAAACACAACTATTCCTGCTTTGGAGCAGCCCAACACTCATATTGCAGTTTCAAGAGACAATAAAATAGCCAGCAAGATATAGCGTTACTAGAATATGAAACATTGTAACTGTACTATTTTATTGTATAAAAGCACATGATGAATCTGATAACTAGTCATTTATTTCCATAGTATATACTCCCTCTGCCCCATAATATAAGAACGTTTTTGACACTAAAACGTTCTTATATTATGGGACGGAGGGAGTATATTTTAACAAAGATTGATGAAGCAAGGATATCACAAATTATGAAAATTTTGGCTACATCATATATAAATATTGGCCAGTAACATACCTTGAGCATTAAATCAGCACTGGCTACAGCCCCATAGATAACAAATTACGGTGTGCGACAAAGAGATCGTAAGTTCGTAACCACTGGCTTCATTTCCTTGAGGTACAAGACTAACTTCCAAGAATAGCAACCCTGAATTTGTAAACAATGAAAGCATGTTAATTCCATGTAAACTGCCACGCCTGCCATTTAAGCAATAAATAAACTGTCATACAAAATTAATAGAAACAGAGCATAACACATGAGCAGCTTTACTAACGATGGCATAGGTCAAAATTCACATGCATAAGAGCATGAATTGCTCGTTCTGTTATCCTTAGATGCACGGTGTTACCCAGCATATGAACCTGAGATCTGGATCTAATTAGTATTAGACAAATCTGAATCCGATACCAGGCTATTGTGTAGTCTTTCACCGTTCTTCGAATAATTAATAATTCCCAGCTTCGATCAAAGACCGGCACACTCATTCAATTGCAAAACTGAAACACAAAAAAGCGAAACGTATGTACTTAAAACGAAGCTGTCTGATGAGAAGTCAGCCTAATTTGTGCCCAATAATTCTACTTCCCATTCAAACATTAACAAGCATCCATACAAAAGTTGCAGTGTTTATTAAGACTGAGGGCCTGCTTGGATTGGGGAATTTATTGTGTGCTCCTCAATATTTAAGTCATTTCACAGAAAACCTGCTCAATTCAAGCAGAGTCGGGCATACGAAATTCATCTTGACGACCCCCTCCTCATATGCGAGTGAGAAGAGTGCATACATGTAACAACACATGGACACATGAAAAAAAAATATTTACTTGTGTGCAGGTCGAGGACAACACCGTAACATACAGACTCACATTCCCTAACACAACGTACTTGGAAAGTATCTAGAAACAGACTATCTAGTGCATGCATATGTACCCAGAACAATAAGAAAGCAGATAACCACTGACAGCACGGACAAATTTTGACAGAATACAAATGAACCGCCGATCAACCAGACCAATCGACTTACCCTGCAGCACGTAGATCAGAGCTTAAAGGGGACGAATCCACCGACGGAGATGACGACGAGGAGCAGCAGGTAAGCGCAGGGGACGAGAACCCTGGCAAAATGATGGATCCGGCGCCCGTGGCTGCAGCGGGGCAGGCAGAAGGCGCTCCCCAGCTCCACCGGCACGGCGACGAAGAGGACGAAGGCAAGGACGGTATAGTATGCGGCCTTGTAGTGGGCGAAGACAGGTCCGGCGGCCGGCTGGTGGAGCACGGTGGTGAGGGCCAGCACAAGGGTGAGGGAGCCCAGCCCCCACAGCGCGCGCCCCAGCTGCTCTACCGCCGGCGGCGAGGCGAACGGCACCACCCACTGCAGCATGTGGGTTATGCTCTCTAGGTCGGTCATGTCGGCGGCGACGCCGCTGCCTTGGGATAAGACCGAGATTGAAGTTGAAGTTGAACTCATGGAGGATGGAATCGATCTACAGTTTTGTTTGTGGGATACTGAGCTGTGGTGTGGACGCATTTGACCGTCCTGATGGCATCTGCCTCCACGTGTCCGATCTCAGCGCCCGACGGCCTCCGCCCAGGCTCGACGACTCTTTTTTCTGTTTTCATAAAAAAAAAATCGGCCATCTACCAGACGACAACGCGGCGCTAAAACAGGCGCGCCTGATTTTTCATCCTTGGCAGTGAGGAGCTAGAATCATGGGCTCATCCTTGGCGCTGAAACATGACATCTTAAGCTTCTGTCTCTAAAGCTGACCAGAACCTCTAACTAAGAAAGTGCTGCATGACTGTATCACCATATGAGTTCGTGACCGAAACTGCTCTGCATATGATGATTTTCTCGTCCGACTAGTACGACCAGAGACCAAATCATCTCTAAATGCTATGACCCACAAACTAGCATCAAGTCCCATCAGTTTTGGCTGAGTTCTTGGGCATGGACTACTCAAGAAAACCAACATCAAGTCCCAACTCCCAACACATAGACTATGTGCTGAGTAGTTTATTTCACAAGTAAATTGTGAAGCAATGGGCTTAACTCTCTGTTGGCTTGTAACTTGATAAGCCATTTCATGCTTTTAGGTTCCTTTCCATCTCGACCTGTCCCATCATGTTGAGAATTCTTTCCATCTCGACCTTACTGACGATAGTCGATCGTAGTTTCTCAAACAATGTTTCCATTTTTTCTTTTCAAAAAAGAAGAAAAAAGAAGAGAAAGAACATAGCCTTCAACGACAAAGGAAAGCAGAATGCAACAGGGTGCCTGACTCTGACTGCACTCCACTCCTAGTTTATCACTTGACTTTCAAGATCTGGACTAATTTACCAGTTGCAGTTATGACACATCCAAACTGACACATACCCTTTAAGCCGCAAGCAACACTGATGTGTCCTTCCTTAAACCTGATAAAATCTTATGCCTGAAACAGCTACGTGTTTCCATTTGCCAAATCTACCATTATTGTCCTCAGAAATTCAGAACATGCCAGAGTAATAATTATATTCCGATGCCCAGATACTAGACAAAACAGATTTCTCATAGAACAGTTCATACTCCACGTGTACAGTGTACTGTAACAGAGAGTCAAAATTTTGAACCATACTCCTGGGAGAAGGAAACCAAAGTGCATACATACCGACAGTGATGTCACATCCGCTGAAGAACTCGCCATCAATGTAGTGCTGCCGGAGGGTGGGCCGGCCGGAGCGCCTCACTGGAGAGCATGTTGAGTGAGCGCAGGATCTGCAACACCGTGTGGAAGAAGCTGCGCGACCGACTGCTGCTTCGGCAAGACGTTGGTGCTGACCACGTGGAGCAAAAATGCAGAGCACACCTTTCCAAAAAAAAGAACAGAACACGTCTTGCTCTGCATATTTTGGGAGACGTCTGCAGAAGAAGGCACTGACGATTCAGAATATAAGGGTTGTCTATTCACTATTCAGAGGACGACTGCTAATGACAGTTCAGAATGTAACCAACAGATTTAACAACAGGGTGCCACCATTTACCTTTAGGAAAAAAAATCAGTTTATCAATCCTTGAAATCCTTATGCCACGAAAAATCAGCCTACATCATAAAAACTGTGCAGTAACATACCTTGAGCAGTACATCAGCACTAGCTACAGCACCAGCGATAACAAATTAAGTTGCGCGCCAAAGAAATCATACCACTGGCTTCATTTCCTTGAATTAGAATTGATAGAAGACTAACTTCCAAGGATAGCATTCCTGGACTGGTAAACAATGGAAGCACGTTAATTCCATGAAAAAGGCCCTATCAGGCATATACATTGCCACAACTTCCATTTAAGCAATAAATTAACTGTCATACAAGAGCAAGACAAACAGACAATAGACTGTAGCGTAACACATGAGCAACGTTACTGATGATGGCATAGGTCCAAACTCACATGCATAAGGGCAGAAACTGCGTGGTCTGTTTATCCCTTAGATGAGTAGCATTACTCAGCACATATAACTGAGATCTGCATCTAATTACCAGGCCAATTAATGTGTACTCAAACGATCTGAATCCAATAACAGGCTATTTTCTAATTGTCCACACTTCTGCTAATAATTAATAACCAGCTTCTATTTTCTAATTTACCAGGCCAATTAATGTCTACTTCTACTCATTCGATTTGCCAAGTCAAAACACCAAAAGGCAAAATGTATGTACTCAGAGATAATGAAAAGTCCACCTAACATGTGCCCAGTTCGTTTTATTTCCCAGTCAAACACTAATAAACAAGCATACAGCAGATTCGGGAACTTTTTAGTTATCCCCAGTATTTAGCTCAGTTCACACAAAATACACTCAATTCAAGCAGAGCCAGGCATAAAATCCATCTTGACAGACACCTCCTCGTATGAGAGGAAGAAGAATGCATACATGGAACACATGGACAACATGACCAGAACTTTTTGTTTTGTTTTCAGACCGAGGACAGCGCTGCCGCATACATACTTATATTCGCTAACACATCTTCCAGTATCTTGAGACAAAACCTACATACTCCATACGTATAACACATATCTTCCAGGATCTAGAACAAAACATACATGCTCCATATGTATAACACATGTCCTCAGTATCTAGAGACAAAAACCTATATACTGCGTATGTATAACACATATCCTCCAGTATCTAGAGATAAAACCTATATACTGCATATGTATAACACATATCCTCCAATATCTAGAGACAAAACCTATGTACTGCATATCTGCCCAGAAATAACCAACCAAATAATCACTGACACCACCGAGAAACTTCCACCAAATACAAAATTAACCTCCGAATCAACCGGACCAATCAACAGAATACATCCAGGCATCTGTGCAACTAGTAGTTTTGACCTTGCATAAGATCAGAGCTTAAAGGGGACGGCGAAACCACCAACCGAGATGACGACGAGGAGCAGCACGAATGCAAGCTGAGGAGTCGGCCCCTGTTGTTGCAGCGTGGCAAGAAAAAGGCGGTCCCCAGCTCCACCGGCACAACGACAAGGAGGACGGTCGCGAGAATGGTGTAATAGGCTTCCCTGTAGTGCCCGAAGACGGGCCCTGCAGCTGGCAGGTGGAGCACAGTGGTCAAGGACAAAACAAGGGTGAGGGAGCCCAGCCCCCACAGCGAACGCACGAGCTGCGCTACCGATGGCGGGGAAGCAAACGGTAGAACTGACTGCAGAATGTTGCTTATGGTGGATCGACCGATCTCCAGGTCGGGCATGGCGTTGTCCTCGACGCCGTTGCCCTCAGGTTGGGACAGTGCGGCCCCCATGGATGAATCGATCTCGAGTCTCGTTGAGTTGTTCTGTCTGGGCAGGAAGATCTGAGAAGGAAGAGAACAGGGGATGTACATACAGTCAGCAGCAGCCAGATAAGCTTACCTGATAGTCGGACGAGACTTGCCTGCTCCCCTCCCGTGTGCCCATCCGTGCTCCCGTATACGTGGATTGATTTGATTGGAACAAAATAACGCCCGGCCCCACCCCTTTAAAATCAGGGGGGAGATGATTAGATTAGAAAGAAAAAAGAAAAAAAAGACAGCCGTTGGATGAGGTGGGAGCACGGATGGGAGCATGGGAAGGGAGCAGGCAAGCCGGATCCCTGATAGTCTTGTGCAATCCAAATACTACATGCGGAAATAATTTTATATGAAGTAGTATAACTTACTGCAAGTCTAACTAGCAATGTTTAGAGGAAACTATACCGATGTATAGCTAGCAACAAACTCAGAGTGTTATCTTGGTGTGAAATATGTACAGATGGGCTAAATACCAGGAAGCAGGCAAAAATTGCACCCAGTCTAAAGCAGCAGCTAAAATGTTTCTGGCTGGATATAAATCATCTCAGATCTACCATGAAAGGATTCCAACTAGAACAGGTAAACAGTTATTTCTAGACAGGCAAGAAATGTGTACAACAATCAGTTTTCTGAAAACAAAAACCTCCTATGAATATGACTATGATGCGTCATACGAATGGACACAACACTGCTAGTTATTGCATATGGCTTTGAACTAGGATGGGAAATCCCCGAAATGGTCTTCCCCAACAGTAGGAGTAGAGCGATAGATGCAGAGAAGAAAAGAACAGGAAATGGGTATTAACGATAATCCAATTTAGGCAGCTATACCACAGTTGTGCAGCGTGAACAGTTACTCACGGTAATTTAATTCGAGGCAGCTATTCGACAGTCCAGTCAACCACAGATACGAAGCATGGACAGATATTCAAAATCAACAGCATATGAAGCATATGCGTCACAGCAAAAAAATTATGTAAAAAGGGGATTTTATAGGGGATGCTCCGCGGGAAAATGGAGACTAGCAGACTGAAATGAAAATGCAACGGGGACACCGGAGGATGGCGACAGGGATTTGACCTCTGGGCTCTGGGGGATGGCGACGGGGGGATCGGAGGATGGCGCCGGACCCGAGACGAGATTGGAGGATGGCGACGGAGATTTGACCGAGGGATAGCGGGACTATATTGACTACCTGGTCAAGACGCGTCGCGGGTTGCGGAAATGAGCCGAGCCGCTCTTCAGATAGGCACATCAGAACTTCGTCTGCCTCTCGCCACCAAGTTCCAAACTTTGAGCTGCTGCTATGTTCGTCCACATCCCGGCTTGCGGCGTGCACCGCAGGTCGGGATAGTAGGCCTTCAAAATCCCGCCACTTCGAGTTATATACTGGAGAAGGGCGATAAGGTTTTTGAAGAGCGCTATGCGGGACTATTGACTTCTTCATCACGAAAGCCACGGGCGTCGACGACTTCTTCCTCGGCATCGACAACCTCTTCGACGACATGACCGGCGACGACGTCAACGCCAACCCCAATGTTACTGCCACGGCTCAGTACCTCTTCGTGTTCTTTTCTGATTGAGATTCTACCACAGTTTCTTGTTCTAGATATGTTTTGTTCAACTTCACTACTTCAGATGCTATTTGCATACTCTATGTGGGATTGCATGACTTGTCTTATCTCTACTATGATAGTCATGTTTTATCTACTATTTTTATTATTAAAATCATATGGTAAATTGCTCATGAGCCTCCATATGTTCTAGATATGATCATATTTTCAACAATAAAAAAAAATCTTATTATAGGCAATTTACCCCGAATGGTTTTGCTGCTTCCATGAGACCTCCTATGTTTGAGGGCGTGCACTATAAGACGCGTGAGAGCCGTTCTATGGTTTCAAACCATTAGCTACTATGACGCCACCCTTCATAAACCTGAAGGAGTTCTTGATCCTCAACAGGAACAAGCTTTTCAGAAAACGGATACCTTGTTTAAGGCTGTTCTCGTGAGTGTTCTTGGTGAGAACATAGTTGCTGGCTATGCGTCAAATGATAATGGCAAGGATACATGAGATGCACTCGAGGCCAAGTTTGGGGTCTCAGATGCCGACACTAAGTTGTATATCATGGAACAATTCTATGACTACATGATGACTGATGAGCGCTTCATGGTTGAGCAAGCGGACGAGATAGTCATTTGTTAAAGAACTTGAACACTTCAATTGTATGTTACCGGACAAGTTTTTTGCCGGAGGCATCATCACTAAGCTTCCTCCCTCATGGAGGAACTTTGCTACCTTTCTGAAGCATGAGAGGCAGGAGTTTTCTGTTCCGGATCTCATTGGGTACTCTTGATGTGAAAAAAAAGGCGAGACCATCATCATTCTTCAGTTCAGGGACATTACAGATATTTCAGCACACAACTCATCTCATAATCTCATACCACAATCTTAGAAAAGAACTCGATGGCTGATTCTGTCGGAAGCTGATTCTGGATAATATAATCAAAAGGTAAAAAGATCATCAAAAAGCTGTTGAGGAAGATCATCAAAAACCTTACCCAGGGTTGCCCTCCATGTCACAGGAAACCATCGTGCAAGCGATTGACCACACATTGCACAAAATTTATCATAGACATTAGACAAAGTGCATTGTACATTTGTAACTCACTGCTTCATAATTTGAATCATCTACAACTTAGCAACTGTATCTCCACTTTTCTGCCGTGGGCTGAAAGAGTGCGTACGATCGACAAGGGCTAGAGCATATATAATGGTTTACTGTATGATGTCGCCCGTCATTCGCTAAGAGCACATTGCTTTCTCCAGCGTCTCCTGCAGTTCCCCACTCTTGTATGCCTCTGCAAAACATACAGCAGCGTAAGCGTTAGAAACTCGGTTCATTCAAGCACTGATTTCAAACACAAACAAGTATACAAGAAACATTAACACTAATCATGGGTATAATGGAGAAGCAGTGATACTAATCCTTCTCGATAACCATAATTTCGATACAAAAAGATCTCACATTTTCGTCAACAAGGTGATCCTTTTGACACCGCAATGTTGTACATTTCTCATCTGTACTTGATAAAACTAAAAAAGTGCTTCCAGTTCATGAGCCTACAACACATACAGTTCATGAGCCTACAATACATAATCTGCTGCTCCTTGACTAGAATGGTGTGGCAGCAATTTAAGCTAAGTGATTGGAATTTTGCACCAGTCCTGGAAATTGGTGTTCCCAAAGGCTGGCATTATTCCATGTCACTGACACTGAAGCATAAATAATAACAATGGATCTGAGCTCGAAGCTGTACTAGGAAGTGTCTGGTCAGAATGTTACTTGAACTTGGAACGGGAGCAGAACAAATGAGATCGCTCATGCTGCAATGTTGGCCGGTTTGATGTTGGCAGCCGCGAAAAGAAGGTTACCAACTTACATTATGATGGTCCTTCCTGATAATGTTGAAATCACAGATGGGATAAACGCATAGTACAGAGGGAATCTTACAGCAAGAAACAAAGCAATATTCCAGGGGGGGAAAAGCAATTTTTCCATCTTAAGAGTTGAGATTTTGTGATTACTATTTCAACTGCTACTAGTACTTCGGAGTTTAGACTTTAGAGCATGGAAAGAAACACTATGAATGATTGAAGTCGCTATATTTGTTTGGGGGATTTGGAGCAAGTCACATCACCAGATGTGATCCGTACTGTCTGACAACCATCACCAGACTTTAACAGTCCCAACAGTCCCAGCACATCCTGGGATGAAATGAACTTACTAGGCGGTTTCAGACTAGAAAAGAAAAAAGTATGCCTATCTGAAGTGCTGCAAATAGTGGGCATGAAACTATTGATGATGGTAATGATGGTGAGCAGGTGGGGGAGCAAGCATCTTTTGTTACTCATAATAAATATGGATTGTTTGTCATCAAGTTAACTTGTAGAAAAGGAACACTGAACCCGTCCTGGAAAACTTGTGGAAGCTACAAAACAGCTTCTTAGTTTACAACAAAGCTGTTGATCAGAACTCAGCTAGTCTGAGTATTGATGTACCATGATAATTTCTGATCCAAGAAATTGGCACCATCTAATATGGGAAAACTTGTGGAAGCTACAAAACAGCTTCTTAGTTTACAACAAAGCTGTTGATCAGAACTCAGCTAGTCTGAGTATTGATGTACCATGATAATTTCTGATCCAAGAAATTGGCACCATCTAATATGGGAAAACTTGTGGAAGCTACAAAACAGCTTCTTAGTTTACAACAAAGCTGTTGGGTTAATTTGATAAATGCCACTCCAAATTTGGCGATTCCGAGAAATGCCACTGCAATTTGCAAACTTTGAAAAATGCCATTTCATGCC